AAGTCGTCTGGTGCCGCCGCGGCTACAGCTGTCGACCAGGTCCCCTCCTGTCTTCTCCCTCCTCTGTGTACATTCGAGGAGGACACGGAGACGGCCGCGGTGCGCGGGCAGGGCCCTGGGTGGCCCCGGGCAGGCTGTCTGGGCTCAGTTTCCCTCTCCAGGAGGTAAGGATCCAGTGTGGCTGGACTGGCAGTCCCCCGTCCAGCCTTGCCCCGGTCTCGATCTGCGCTCGCCCTGTGAGTGTTGCCCTGGCCTCTTTCTGCCCTTGGCCAGGAGGCGGCGGTTGCTCTGGCGGGAGCTGAGACTCCGCTTTAGGAGTCACCAGTGCCAGGTGGGGCGGAATCAAGGCGTGGCCACGGGGTGCCTTCTGCAGGGTGCGCAGCGGCCAGTAGAGAGTGACTGGACTCACTGTGAGCACAAGGTCTGTATCTGACAGACACACGATCTGTGTGGCAGCAGAGCTCGGAGGTGCGCCAGCCGGGAAGACGAGGCAGATGGGTGTTGTCCAAGCTGAGCTGAACGAGGGCGGCACAGACAGGCGGGCACAGCTGAAGTCTGGGGAAAGGGGTCCCCGGCACTCTAGGAAGATGCCCTGGGATCCTTATGCATCGTGGCTTCAGGTGCGTAGTGCCCTCTGCTGCCGGGGCGGCCCCAGGGTCCCTAGCACTGGCCTCCACCCTGTGTCAGTCCCAAGTGAGGGAATAGAACATTCGAGGGCAGGAGTGCAGGCTCAGGGGACCAAGCCCGCCATGGCCCCTTCCCTAGCTCTGAACCCCTGTAGCAGAGTCCCCATACCCCCAGACCCGTGGCCACCCCCCTCCTTGAAGCCCAGGCTACCCTGGCCAACCCCATTTGCTTATGTCTTGAGGCTGTCAGGTGTAGCTGGTAACTCATGTTGCGTGCTCCGTGAGGCTGGCCCCCGTCACTTTCTCAGGGGAGTGTGGGCCACCTCAGTGACCTCACCCACTGGCGAGGAGCCTGCAGCTGCTGCAGGGCTGGGGGAGCAGGGTGCCCCAGAGAAAGCCCGTGGCTTGGGGGAGACGCAGTGGGCTTGCTAAGCAATCCAGGGCTGTGGGCGGGCCCCTGACACCCCCTGTTCTTAAGCAAGCCCCACCCAGCCCCTGGCCACAGGGGCCCCGGGGGTCCGGAGACACACATACATGCCTGGGGCCAAGCTGGGGCTGGGGAACAAAGAGGGGCCCAGTGTCAGGGCACCTGCCTGCCACCCTGACTCAGAGCCACTCCAGGTGCCAATGCTGCTCTTCCCTGAGGCTGTGGTGGAAGGGGGCCGCTAGCCCCAGCTGGAAAAGGGAGCCCTCACTGGGCAGTTCAGGGCTTGTTGTCCTCAGAGGTGGCCAGGGCCAGCGGAGTGGGCTGGGAAATGCCACCATTCCATGACTGGTACCCAGCCAAGAGCAGGGTCCCAGCAGAGGGGAAGGGCGTGAGGAATGGCCCCCTGAGGGTGCTGTGGGTGGTGGGAGGGGCCCCCGAGGGTGCTGTGTGTGGTAAGAGGTGCACACGGGCAGACTCACCTTGGTGTGTCCCACCCAGCTCGCTCACCTTGGGAAAGCCTGTCTCTTGTCTCTCTCTCCATCTCTGTCTCTCTGTCCCCCGCTCCCCTCTCCTTTCTCCCCCTCTCTCTGTATCATTTTTAACTATGATTTGGGTGAAAGTTTACAGAGGGTATTGGTTTTCCGATTGGGAGCTCTGGTAGCATAGTGGCTAAGGCACTTGACTGCTAACCAGAAGGCTGGCGGTTCAAATCCACCAGCCACTCCTCGGAAGAAAGGTTGGGCAATCCTACTTCCGTAGTGATACTGCCTCGGAAACCCCAGGAGGGGTTGCTATGAGTCGGGGCCGACTCGACGGCAAATAACAACAACAACAACATTGGTTTTCCGATTAGCAGTTCACATACCTTTTGATTCTTGACATCGATTGCAGTCTGAACAGTCTAACAGCTGTGTGCCTGTTTCCTCCCTGCGTCTCCTGCCCCCAGTCGCCCTTCTCTCCACCCCCTGCCTGCCTTCCGAGCATCAGCCCTGGGCAAATGCTGCCCTTTGGGTGTCTAGGGTTGATTGCTCTAGAGAGTAGCACCTCCCTGGTGTTACCATTCACCTTATAGGCCTGTCTGTTGTCTGGCTGAAAATTGAGCCCCAGGGGTGAGTTCAGTTCCAGGCGCACAGGGTGTCTAAGGACCACGGTCTGAGGTTTGGGAGAATCTCTTGACTGAGGCTTTGCTGTACGGAGCAGACAACAGCTTGCCCAACGGTTGTCAGGCCACCTTCCGCCCTGGATGGTGAGCTCTCAAGATGGGACTTCCTCAGCATGCTCCTTAGCTCGCATTGGCAGAGACCCCTCGACTGTATGCGTGTGCACAAATATACGACCCTTGTGGAGGGATGCAAATGGTTACCACACCCAGCTGCTAACTGGAAAGTTGGTGGTTTGAGTCCGCCCAGAGGCACCTCAGAGTAAAGCCCTGGCAATCTATTTCCCAAACACTCAGCATTGCAAACGCTGCAGAGCAGTTCCCTG